TTAGGCCGTTGATTACCGCGGCCGAGCTGTAATTAGCATTGCCTAATGAACCTATTTCACTTCGCTGCTTTCCTGGTAATACGGACGGCGAGTTAATCAAATATGGACCGCTGATCTCATTGGTTGATTAAAATTTAGATTAAAGTAAACATAATAAAAATTATTTGTTTATAGGAAGCATTTTTTATTATCTGTATAATCTGCAGTATCTGCGATATCAGAAATAGCTTGTGTACAGTTAGGAATTTATTGCATGAGGGTCAAACGCACAAGTCCTCATTGTTCTGCCTTATAGGTTATTCTGGGTTCGATTCGTTAACATACTAACGCTCATTGTTTGTATAATGTTCTGGCAATTTGTACAGGACTTAATTATTTATCTGCCTGTTGATAATAATTATTACTCAGGTCACAAACGTATTTAGTAGGTTTTATTATGTTTACGAAAAATTTCTATACAATTCTACTGAGCCTCACCCAAGTACGCGTGCCCATTAAACGGTATTTACACACGTTATTTTTGTATAAATATGACAAGGTTACAAATGAACCAGCTATTTTAATAAACTGTTGTTCCCCTCTGTCGTTAGCTATGAGTAGGCAGGCACATTAGTAACATTCTGTCATTAGTGACATACGAACAAATCGAAGCGATTACATGCGACCAAACAAAGGCGGGCTATCTCTAATTTAACTTTTCCGTGTCCGTACGGCGGTATTAACTATTTACAAGGGGATCTCGCTCCCCTAAATAATAAAAGTGGTCAGCGCCCGACGATTTCTTTTACAACGTAGTCGGAGTGGAATGTACCATCTGCTCTTGTTAAATATTTCTTATAATCTGGAATCTGTTTTATTTTATAGAACGCTTTACTGCGTGACAGATTAATGAAAATTATAATAAATGACTTACGATAACAAGAAATAACGAGGAATTAATCAAGTTCAATATTGATCGTGGCTTGGCACGCCATTGCTAGACCTAGATAAATTCAATGAGAGGTCGCCCGCGCAATTATCTAACCTACATACTCGACTCATATTATTGATGAGTTGTTTTTTTTTTTCAAATGCGCTTTCTATCTGCAAAGTTGTTAATTAATTCATTTTTTGAAACGAAGTTCCTTATCGCGCGTTACACGCTCTGAGCGGATGGGAACGAGACCGAAAAATGTGTAACAAGACTTTTTGCCGACACTTCAGTTGGTGCGTCGACGCTCACATATTTTTATATTTCATATATTATTATTATATAGCAAACGTCTACCAAAAAGCGAAAGGAACTTCGTTCTGAAAGGGGTCCACAGACCCCTAACGCCGTTTTATTTTCTCAACTTTTACATTGATTCAAGATGAAGGTTATAATAATATACATAGGTCATTTAACATCACGTTACGACTATTACAAGTGAAACTGCGTGGCATGGCCAGTACATTATACACTTTTAAGAACGTAGCAAAGTTTAAATCCAAAAAGTATTTACCTCAATTACGAATGTTTTCCATTGCATGCTTCATAAATTCTACTTTCTACAGTCACATTTATTACTGTTCCACAACACGCAATGGAAACTGAACAGAACTTTTATAAAATAAACAAGTATCGCGTTATAGGTAGCGGTTAGACTAACTATAAAATGTAATCATCACTCCTATTGTTTCATTAGTCGAAGACGGATAGAATGGAATACACAGATCACTGCGGTGGCGCCCATTAATGCTAACCACTTATTTGAAATGTTTAACGTGTTCATTGTGTCGTAGAATTATAAACAATTAAGATATTATAACTAAACATGTTACGGCTCATCGTACTCACTGACAGTTATTTAGGATATAATTATTCATGGACATTCTGTTGCTGATATTCTCCTCCTATAAATTCAACTACAAATGCCGCGATAATTTCATATGGACAAAGTATTTTTCAGTGTCGAGCCTTATTATTACATACTCACACTCCGACACCTTTAATCTTTAACCCATAATTCCTATAATGTTTCTAATATTAAATTCGTATTAGTATACATTGCTCATTTGCAGACTCTTGTGATTCTCTGCAGAAACAATAGACATAACACTCCATTGCCATTCTAATACGAGTTTTTAACTCGTTGGATCTCGTACTTTGTTTGTCAAGTAAATGAAAAGCTAAGTCATCCTACTTAGAAGTAATGACAGATTTTGAAGTTGTGAACTCTTGTGTATTTTTGTTTTACAAGAAGAGCAATATGTTTGGTAGATAACGGTCCACAATAGTTAATTGCGAACGAAAAAATAAAAATTACGTAAAATTTTGATTATACACTTATCAATTATTGCGTTACTTAAATGTTTTCTTTGGGCGCAGTAATTCGATTTTTAGCTTAAACTAAATTATTGCGGATTCTAGGTTATAAAAAAATCGCTTCAGCTTTTCCGCTTTATAGAGCTTTTTTAGATTAATTTTATAGTACGAATTGCACACAGTAAGAATAACGAGATAAGGAAGATTACATAAAAAAACATTCTTGCACGATCTAGTTCGGCGTATGATCTTTAAATCTTATGTAGCCAATTTTTGCCTAACTGAAAAGTTAAGCAATTCCAAAAGAATACAGCAGTTGAATAACCAGAGAATTTTATAGCCATAATCAGTGAGAGTTAATTAAAGCCTTAGTAATAATTAAAACGCCTTACTGAAATGAAGCATCAAAATCTTAATTATGTTAATTTAATTTTCATTAACATTTCACATTAGCTAATGGTGATAAAGCTATTTTGTACTCTATTAATTAAAACGTACACTTTGATGTTCCACACAGTTTGGTTGTTTTTGATATGCATATAAAAGTAAATTGTGTTTTATAAATTAATTGTATCTGTTGTTAATGCAAAAAGACATTTGAAATTTACAAAATGATGCCATTCACACTCTCTTCGCTTCAGGTCAGCAGTATAAATGATTTCGTCATTTCGTCAATGAATGTCACCCCCTTCCTCCGAAAAGCATCCTATTTCACTTTATAAGTGTATACATAAATACTAATATTTTTCCTCCCTCCTTTTTATTAAATAATTATTTATTATATCTATAAAAAAGAGTCGAATTAGGGCAGCCGAAAATAACCTTTTTTCCTAGCGAGTTGCCAGCTAGACCCCCCTCCATTCCACCATGGAAATCACCAGAAGACATAAAACAGTAGAAATGCTGTACATGAAACATTAACGAGTCTAAACCACGGCACGCAGCTGTATCATTAAAGATTAACTGACATTATAATTATGGAACGGAGGAGGCTTTAAACACGAACTAATGTAGTTAATTATGTAGTATAGTGAGTAGTTTATAGATAGTAGTTACTTTATAGTTAAATTGTTGTGCATGTACTTTATGTTGTCTTTAAATTTCAGTATTATATGCGATAAATGGCGACCCACAATATACTAGTGCTTTAAAAGATCATAAGTTAAGACGCACCCAGACGCTGATCGGAAAAATACGCTACTCTATTGATTACATTGTAAATACGTACAAAAATTTGAAAGGAAAAAAAGTATTCGATTTCAAATAAGCTTTTTTGCAGATCAATGTAATAAGAGGTTGAATATCAGCGACTACCATAGATAATCTCGTTTTTACATTCAGTTGTTTTTATTTATTACAGAAAAAATATCAATGGGTTAAAATCCTGTAACTGATGACTGTCCGTGTGGTGACGGATTAAGAATACATAGTGTCGCCACCCCTATTCATCCCGTGAGTGTCGTAAGAGCCGACTAAGGGAGCAAACTATGCAGGACAACAGCACTGCAGAGAGAAGGAAAACTTGACACAAACCCCATACCAACCCGTCTGGCCAGCGTGGTATAGTAGGCCATAACCTCCTTTCTAAGAAGAGGCCTATGTCCAGCAGTAGACTATTAAAGGCTGTTGATGAACTGATGACTTTGACTGAACATTTGATGTTTATTCCGATATGAATTTAGCATGAAATGCCATGACAAAAAGAGTGTCAGCTTTTCCGTGCCATTGTTTTTTGTTAAGGGTAAATTTTGAAGGTGTTTTAGGGAAGAGCCAGAGCCTAGCTGATCTGCTAGATGTGATACGTCATGGCATCTAGATACATTTAGATTTTCCGTATAAGGATGACTTGCTATTACTTTTTATTAGAATAATGTAATAACTCATAAACCATTTTTAATTCTATTAGTATTACTGATTTATTATTATTACAATATGTTGTAATCATAAGATGACTTATGTTTGCATAAATCACCTAACGATTAAAACAGAAAATAGCAACATTCGACGCATAATATGACGATATTTTAGTTTTTACATTAAATAAATATTATACAGCTAAACAAATAATATAAGAATTAGCAAGGTATCGTCAACAAAATGTTGTCCAAGTTTAAAAAATACACTTATTTACAATTCAACGAGACCGCGCTACGTTAAATCGAGTCTAAAAAAGAAGCTCGCAAGGGATTAAAAAGGGATTGTCCGAAGCCCGATTTTTATCTCAATTTGTTACTCTCGTTTACGAAAAACATTTTGAGAACAAAGACGAGGTTAAATCGCTTTGAATTACAATAAGCTTCGAGGCGGTAGGTGACATAATGAATTCAAGACGCAGCCTTTCTAATACAATAAAAATAGGCGAAGGCTTTGCGAAAAAGTGTCGCGAATACAGGGGTGAAATTGATTAATTAAATTTGCATAAGTTAGCACGGCGGTACGAAAACGGGCGCGGCGCGACGCGGGGAACGCTCGACGTTCGTAAATATGCAGCCAGAGTCACGTCCTCGCTCAACTCGCGGCTCTTGCATCCCTAATATGCAAATGAGTGCTCCCGCGTGACAAATTGGATCGGTCCCACTCTGCGATTACTTCACTGCACCAATTTCGTTAAGTCCCTATCTTCTTACATAGTTTAAACTAATCCCATTATGCTATAGAAGGAACATTCATCCAATGGAAGCCATAAATTGATTGTCTTGTGCTATTGTTACAGGTGTACTAGTAGTCAACGTGACGTGGCGGGGGAAGACCTACGTAGGAACGTTACTGGACTGCACGCGACACGACTGGGCGCCACCACGGTCAGTATTTATAAGACATATCTAAATCTAATGTTGGGAACGTTGTGGAATACTAATGTCGGCGAGAATGAGGCATTGTCTTTACTAGGAGTACCTCAATTAGTTACGTCTCAATGTACCTAATGATTGATCCGTCACGTCTCTCTAAAATGAGTCTGACAAAAACGTGAACAGAAATTCCTGAGAACGGGAATGTGTTTTCATAAATCATTATTTTATGGTTGTTCATACGTGCGGTGTACGTTAATGACTGTAAGTGTTTCTATTAAGCTTTGTTATAACTATTCAATATTGGTTTGTAGGTTTTGCGACTCACCGACAGAAGAGTTGGATGCTCGGACACCTAAAGGTCGAGGGGCGAAACGTGGTCGCAACGCCGCACCTACAGACATGACAAACTTCACTGAAACGCGATCCTCAGTACATAGCAAGCTGCGAAATGGAGGTGCTAAAGGTCGCAGGGCTCTACCTTCTCCCACTCCCTTCACTCCACCGAGACCCGACTCAAAAAGGAAACGCACATCTGATGCTGAGGAACGACCACCCACGCCAAAAGCGAAACGGCCGCCGCCGACGACATCATCACCCCCTCCTGACCCTGTTCTTCTGGAGTGTCCAGAGCCGAATTGCTCTAAAAAATACAAACATGCAAACGGATTAAAATATCACCGATCTCACGCACATGGATCGCCAGATGATGACGACAAGGATGGCTCGAGTTCGGAGCAAGAGGAGCCTGCTGCGGAGCCAGCATCGCCGGCCCGACCGCCCTCAGAACCAGCAACTCCAGCCACCCCAATTAAATCCCCACCTACACCAGCAAAATCTCCAGAAGCAAAAGTGGATAAGTCTCCTGAGAAGTCGCCGGAGAAGCCAGAGGTAGAGGCGGAATCGCCGCAGCAGCCACGATTTGCTGAAGATTTCAGCGCTATGGCGGAGCCGGCGGCACCAGTTGAGCGTCCGCAGACACCACCCCAGCCTCCGGCCACGCCGCCTGATACCCTTCCTACGCTACAGCCTACACAATTTAAGGTAAAGTAACCACAATGTTATCACATATCATCGAGTGTTACTGGTATTCCTGATAGCGCGATCCAACATCTTTCGTTATAACGGAATGTTTGTGAACCGTTACTAATATAATATAATTAATATAAAAGGAATAGAAACAAAAAGGAACAAATTGGCCAGGCCAGCTATCCCTTTAGACAATTATATGTGAATGTGAATCAAAACATTCTTCTCAATGAGGCAACTGAAAAACATTACTATCTTTTACATAATTATCTCATTTATTTTGTAGGTTAAGCCTCGTTCAGCGTTAATGGCGGAGGAGCGCAAATCAACGGAATCCCCGGCTGAAGAGTCCCCCGGGAAGCGCCGAGCGAGGCGCTCACCCACCCCGGGCGTCAGATCACCAGCTTACTCCGACATTTCTGACGACGCTGCTCCGCCTGACGCCCCACCTGATACCGACCCAGCGCACAGACCTTTCCCGGTTTATCATCAGGTAATTATACTTTTCCGAAACAATCATTCAGAGCAAGACAGCTGGCTAGTGGTTAGTGCTAGTGGCTCTCCGAGTATCTTTGCCAAGATTTTTGAACGGCAGAAATAAATAAATAAATAAATTAAAAAACCTTCGCCGTTGGTCTCGTTTACTATCTGTCTTTTTAGTGGAATGAAAATAAATGCTAATAAAATATAATGTATATTTTTCAGTACTATGGCCAGCCGTCATTTTTGCCTCCAACACATCCGCCAACAGCGCCTCCGCCCTCGGTAGAAAAGAACAAGGAAGAGCTGTCTAAAGGAGATCCTAAAACTGATTTAAAAGTAAGTTATCATCGTAGTAATGGTCTCACTAAAAGCCCGTTAATTAGCCAACCAGATGATCATTATAGTCCGTTACATTAACCTCATTTTCACGCAGAGAAATCTAAAACTTAAACAATATGACTTCACTGTCATATTGTGCTAAAAAGTGTACATTGATATTACAGCACAGTTGTTTTTCAAATAGACTAACTGAATGACTGACTAAATCGGATTAAATGTTCTCTCGTGAAATGTTTATATACGGCCTGAAGAATGACTACACATGGCAGATTGATGACAAATTACTTACATGCGAGTGAAGTCATAGGCAAAGTTAGAACTAAGTAAATCAGGATCAACAGTCAGGACAACTATGTAAACATAATTGAGTACACTAAAAGCTAGGTAGCTAGCAATATGATAAATTGAATGACATATTCGTGAATAATTGATTGAATTATTTACATTTCATTTACATAAATGTAGATAATCTGTGCCGTGCACCATGTTTATGACAAATAACGCATAAATATGAGCTGTTTTCATTATTTTTGAATAGCATAACATTTGCATAACAAGTTAACACTTTATTTTTATCAAATAATAAACTTTCAATGAAAAGTGCTCCGCATATTAACACAATAATATTTGAGCAAAGCAAAAATAAACTAAACTTGTTCTGTTGCGTTTTAACACTATATTTAGAAATTAAATTGTTTGTAAAACTATATTTATATTCCTATTTATATTATTAAATTTATACAAAAGTAAAAATAAATGTATAACTATAAAAATATTTTTAGTGATAATTATTTAAACAAGTACTAATAACTTGATTGTTTAATTTACTATTTAGGTTTACTAAAATAAATGTACATACTGATATTTTATTAATTCAATTAATTATAGAAAGGCGTGATCATTCCATTAAAAACAGCTAGACGTCTAAAGTTCATTAGTCCAAAACCAAAAACGACACATATTTACGCTGTCTATATCCAACCAATATACATGGTGCCCGCGACTTCGTTCGCGTGGAATTTGAAAAGGCAAAATTATATATATAAAAAATATAAATAGGGGTTTTCTGAGAGATAAATAGACTAAGTTACTCCTTACATAGACAGCTACCTGGTAGTAAAATATTATCAAAATTGGTCTAGCCGTTTTGAAGATTACCCGGAACAAACAGAGAGACAAAAATATTTACAATAGTTTTTAGGCATAGCTATCGTGCAAATAATCGTGTGAGCATGAAGAAAACCTATTATTTTGACATACAAACAGACACAGACACACATTTTATTTATTTGTATAGCTAAGTTCACGAACGTATACCATCGACCTACAGTGAAATACCCTAATAAAAACTTATTCATTTGTTCTAAACCAATACATATTTTTCTAGGATGGGAAACCTGATAACGGCCCTCAAAAGGTAATACCGCAGCACTTCTACCCTTACAACTACGTGCCGAACTTCCCTTATAATGTTGAAGCTGGTGGGCCACCACCGGGGGCGCCTTTGGATGACAAGAGCAAAGACAACGACCGGTCCAAGACTACCCCGAGTCCTCTAGACAAAAGCAAACAGCGGCCTCCAGACGGGAAGGAAAACCCAGCTAGACCGAATGACAATCATCAGATTCTTAAAGAAAGTATTGAAATGAAGGCGCAGATGGGACCTTATAATTTCCAAAGACCACCACACGTAAGAGAGGAAGAGTTGAGGAGGTGAGTTTTTTTTTTACTATAACACTAGAAGTACGGATAACGGTTGGGTAACAAATATGTTTAAATAAGTTGTAGATAAAAAGGTTTAATAATTTCAAAAGGTTATTTTGATATATATTTTCTTTTTTTTATATTTCAAAAAATGTATATAATCTTTAATTTTTGCTTTCCAAGAACATATATGATTAATTTAGCGAGAATTATCGCGATGTTTATCTTCCATTGACCATCAAATGAACCTGGGCGTCAATTCACAGCATCAATAGACTGTGGATGTAGTGACAATGGCTCATTGATGGTAATATCACCAACATTGCCATATCTGGAACATTAAATTTATTATATCCTTACAAATTTTAAATGTACCGTTTACCAGACTATCACAAATACATCGACGACATTGTGTCAGTGGATAGTTCAGTGACAAGTCATCGGCCATTGGTGTTACATAGTTAGTGGAATACGGAAAATGCTAAACTATTCCAAGGACATTACATCGATAGTCTATTGATACAATATTAAAATAGCAGAATTGAGGCCCTGTACGTGGTCTATCTTACGCAGAACGTGGTCAGCGGCAGTCCAAAGTACATACTCTGACTATGAAGTTAATTCTCACTAACATTATGGCAAAACAATTTACACACTGGTTTCAAATTTACATAAATATACATAAATTATACACAAAGATAATGTAAATAAGATATTAGAAATTCGTAAATATTTAAGATATAATAAAGTATCTTATGGTTTTTTTATGTATTACAAATTTATTACATGAAAATCAATGAAATTAATCCAATTAATTTAGAACCAGTTGCTGTTAAACATGACAAGTACTATTTAAATGTCACGAATAGAAATTAGTAATATTAATAAGTAGGGATACAAGCGATTCTAGTGTCAAGAATCTTTCAGAGGTTATTGATCAAATAATTTAATGGTGAAATTTGAAGATATAGTTTTTCCCCTTCCAGATATTATATGAGTTTGGATCAAAGACGGAAAGAGGGGGGCGAGTCGAAGCCCCCCGGGGGCGCGGCGGGGGCGAGTGGTGGGCAGGGGGGCCGGCCTCCGCCGCAGCCCGCACACAAACAGCCCCCCAAAGATAAGGACGATAAGCCCAAAGAGGAGGTCAAGGTGAGTACAAGATTGTCGTTATCGGTTATTAACGTCTAATTCAGAGTTGCGATGATTTTTTAAAACAAAGAATATTTTTGGAAATAGTGTTACAAATCTTGTTACATTATAAGCGCGAGAAAAAGAAATAATTGTTATCATACATTTAGAAAAATATTGAAATGGATGACTTGGATTTCGTCATGAAAGTCCAAGTTTAGTCGATAAAGCTACAGGTAACTTTACATTAATGAAAATTCTAGATATTCTATTTGTCGTTTCCCGGTCCAATTGAAGATTTTGAAATGATAATTGTTGTTATTTTCCAGGTGAAGCAAGAGGGCCAGAAGCCCACGACAGAGACCCAGGGTCCGCCCCCGCCCCCGACGTCGCAGTACTACCTGCCGCCGTACATGCAGCCGCCGCACTACGGCGCGCTGCCCTTCGACCCGGTGTACCGCGCGCCGCTCAGCCCCATGCTGGTGGGCGGGTTCGGCGGCGGCTGGACCGTGCCGCGCTACCACGCGCCGGAGGACCTGTCGCGGCCGCCGGCCGGCAAGCTGGAGCTGCTGCCCGGCGCGCCCGGGCCCGCGCCGCACTCGCAGTTCGCGTACGGCGGCGCGCCGCACAAGATCCACGAGCTGCAGGAGCACGCCAAGTCGCCGCAGGGCAAGCCGCGCGCCGACGCGCCCAAGGAGCCGCCGCCCGGCGCGCGCTCGCCGCCGCCGCAGCGCCACGTGCACACGCACCACCACACGCACGTCGGCCTCGGCTACCCGCTCTACCCGCCGCCCTACCCCGGTACGTACCACCAGCCTTCTATTGTTCCTCTATTCGTTTTCATATTTCGAGTGCTCGCGTGCAAGTACTTGTTAATAAAATACATGAAAGAATCGATCATAATTTATTGTCCTTTTAAAGAAGAAAAAGGTTTCTTCGTATCACACCTTAGCATGCGATCGTCTCTTTCTTTCTTCCTCGCATGCGTGTATCTCACTAACTCTTCTATTTGGCCATGTACGATGATATAGTTGTTACCGAGTACGTCCCCTCTACACCCCTGAGGCACGTTGGCGGCTCCGGTCGCTTCTAATGTGTTGGCTTGTTGCAGGGGCGCGATAGCACACGTCGAGCGATCGGGCGAGCCCCGCCCGACCCGTGTAGCTATCCTGTAGAGGGACGGTACTCCACAGTGAATAGACACAGTAACCCCGATTGTGATTACAGCGGCGGCCGTGCTGGCTAGCACTCAGGCCGTAGTCAACTCGTTCCCGACGCCGCCCAAATGAGACGAGCCGCGTGACGCGTAGTCAACGCTGACTTATGAGTGACGCTGAAGTGAGACTCGTGATGTGACGACGCGAGACGCGCGAACCGTTCCCGAAGTGACTGTAGTGCGAGATAGTGGACTCCGTGACTATATTTCGATTCGAAAGTTAATCTCTATGCCAGTAGCCATAATTTAAACACTGTGATCTCGCGTAACCCACAAAATGTGTATGTGATGTGCGCTTTGAATGTTATAGAATGTGTCCGGACCGATAGTTACCTTTTATAGTTGAGGAGTGTTGTGTTGTGAAGACTTTGGTGGATGTTTGGACGTTGAGCGTAGCGCTTGGCGCTCGGCTGCGGGCGCCGGACTCGTCTACCCTGTTTATATGTTTACTAGTGGAAGCACAAATTAGCTCTGTACATATTAGTGTTATGTGTAAATTACCCTACGATTGTTAGAGTTCCATAAGGGTTATGTAATATAAACATCGAATTTTCCGATTTTCCCTCAGGGCATTGTACTGATGTTTGAAGCCCCTTATCTAAAATTTATATCATTGCGAATTCAGCCTAGTAAGATCTTTATTTATGATATCAGCATTCCACAAAAAGATGAAAGCGAGTGTATCTAGATTTATAATATAATATTAATGATATGTTTAAGTAACATAGTGTAAGTTTAAAGGCGTCAATGTGATCATTACAATATGAGTCGTAGCGTGCACAAATCGTACTGTCTCGATAATAGTGGAGAATGACTTATTATATAATGTAGAGAGCATCCTATAGATTTGTGGAGTGTTTGGACATCGCTGTGCGTGTATGTATGTCTGTCGGCTTTTAATCATAATTAAATAAAAATCTCATAGTTCGATATTCTCAGATACAAGGGATTAGGGTTTCTGTACTGCACCGTAGGTAAGAGTGGCATTCTTTATTCTTACTATATTTCCGTGCATTTAAAGTATCGTCGTCAGCCATTACAAAGGTGAAACGGGAATGTTAATCTATTGTTTCATGCAAAAGTAGTCTTCCAATTGGTTGATTTGGATAAATCTTGTTTTGATGCGTCTATTTTGTACTTTATAGTAACTGACGATATGATTGTTATTTAATTTGTAACTGATATGTGCGTGTTGTCGAGTGATGTCTAGTGCGTCAGCGGGCGAGACCATGTCGATTGCATTTCAAATTAGTAGAGAAATATTTATAACATACATTTTAGAGAATTACAAAAAGGAAATGTAGCTGTATGGTATTATTTTCATGACATATTAGTCAAATGTACCTGTTTCATAATAAATTAACAAACATAAACAATATTTTGTAGAAATACGGGGCCTAAATACCAAGTTTATTGACATAAGTTATCAAAAAAAGTCTGTGAAAAGGAATTTTGAATATCCAGTGAACTATCTTCTTGATAAACACTATTGATGCTTAAACTGAAATGTCTACTTAATTAGTTACATACAGCGTAATTTGTGCATGTTTTGAAGTCGATTAATTTTAGTTTATAAATGATATGATGGTTGATTAATTTTGCATATCCTTATTTCTATTTTTGAAAATATTAAAGGATTTGATACATTTTGAGACAAATTATTTGAAATTCGAAGTATCTGCACTATTCGCAATTGGAAAAGAAAAAACGTATTGTAAAGTATAATTAACCTGATTGGATAAACCTCTTTTACTGTAAATTCAATTGTATCATTTTACATCTTAAAACCATTGTTTTTTTTTCAATACATATAAGGTTAAACATTGCGTGATAAATAGGGTATCATCTTAATTTTTTTTACTCTTATTATCATGTTCACTATGTTAGTGCTATGACGCATGACAAGACTTAGTTTCTTGTACTTATAAATTTCTCTTTGAAATCATATTTATCGCGCAGTGAACGCCGACAAATGTTTATAAGTTGATCGATTTGTTAAAATTATAAACTTAAAATGATGTCAGTCTAATGTGAGGATGTAGTGCTAGCTGTACTCGAATGTATTTAACCGCATAAGTGCATTTGCAATGATAAAGAGTAAAAATCTGCTATAATTAACGCTGTATCGATATCCAGCAAAATGGATGCACTGCATCTATAAATGCACTTGTGCTAAAACTCGTGTAAGAGTCAGCTGATCAGTAACGGCTTCGTAGCAGTACCTAAATATATTTAAGATATTATGTAACTCTTTACCTAATGCGATACAATGCTTAAGGATTTGATTTTATTGTTTAACTGCGCATGTACACAGGTGGGACAGAACAGCCACTGGCGTGGTTTATCTGTGCTCATCAGAACGTGAAGATGCTGTTCTGTACTGAGCTGCCAACGGCAACTGCCGACTGCACGTGCATTAGCTAATTGCAATTTGCCGCACATACTCCGGGTGCACGTGCAGTTGCAGAAGCATGCGGACTAGTATTGCAGCGACTGTTAAACGATAGGACGTTCTTGACAGGAAATTAGTTAAATATTCGAAACGGCTGGCCACCGCCTAGTGTTGGTTGCAGTCGCAGCATGTGTCACCACTCTCGGAAACATTCTGGTTGTATGCTGCAACTGCAAGTGCCGGGACTACATGCAGCCGCTAAACGTGCTGTCGGGAGTTGCCGTTGGCAGCTTGGTACGAAATAATATCTTAAAGCGTTCTTACTCAAAGTTTAACAAAACCATTCAATAGCCTCAGACAAAGATAAAGTATAGACACTTTTTTTTTCAAAAGTTTTATGTTTCTCAGCCTGCCAGTAGTTGAATAATTAAGCTAATAATTTCTTGTTTCATATTAGAATTTGCTTAACAAAATTGAGGTATAGATAACGTTTAAATCGAGATACGTTTTTTACTAAAACAAATTGTGACTATACTGTTTTCTTAGTCATGCTAAATTCTAATGTGTTTAAAATTGTGTAGACCAAATCAGCAGAGCCCTGAAAATAGAATCGTTTTACTGTCTCTCTCAAGTTATTTAAAATATTAGACATCAATCGAAAAAGCAAGTCTACTAATTATGACTGTCATGAAATAAACGTTACTTTAAATTAACTTAATATAAAATCATCTATCTCATAGAGTCTAGGATGGCTGCTACGAAGAATACGGACAGAAGGTCTGAGATGGGATAGTTGCTGTGTTAGACTATTTGAGAGATGTCATGGAACTGCCTGTCTATTGTCTATATGCATAATAAGTTTCGAGGTTTCATATCTACACCTCACCTCACCCTTAAAATTACGTTTATTTCTGTACCGCTAAGCCTTGCTATACTACACAATCAGTTAAAGACGAAAATAGAAACACACAAGAACATGTCAGGCAGTTCTGCGAACGTACATCCGATGACTTGTTGGTGTGACGTAAAAACTGATAAATTTAACTTTATTGCCGGCAATGAACCGATTAACAGATTTGACTCTCTATGGTAAGGAGCAAATTAATTGTAAAGCAGCGGGAATAATAAACACCACAAAAGATTTGTTGGTCATGCCTCATGGTCAGCCTCGTTAGTAAACCCTTTCAGATTGTGTAGTGTCGTAAGCGCATAGTGCATGGTATGGACCTAGAATGATCTCATAAGCGCTCTTTGCATTGTCGACGTATGCATAGACTGATGGATCTTACTTTTCTACCCGTACTAGTAGTACGGACAATTACGCTTTCATACAACTTATGCCAGCGGCGACGTGGTATAAACATGATCATTGTATTTATAATGTATGAGTATACATATGTATATGAATCATTTGTGTATTTTTTTGATGTAACTAAAGCCAAGTTTGATTTTACTTAGAAAAGAATTCGAGACGTTGAAAAAAAGGAATAATAAAGATAAATTATTTCTTAAAAAATGTGTTTTATTCTGAGTTTCTGCTATGATTTAATGTGGTGACATGATGTAATGAATACACTACCACCCACTTTTGTACACTTACTTGACCAGCTTCTATTTATTTATTTTATGCATGTTCAAAACCACTTAAAAAAAATTGCAAATTATACATAATGCGTGTGCATAAATGCAAATCTAAAAAAAAAAGAAAATAAATAACAGTTACCCAAAACTAAAAAATATCTTCTTTTTTTTAATAAATTTCGGGAATCGATTGAGAAACAAAAAACATTTTCTCTTGACATGTATAACTAAAGTCAGTAGAAGCCCTTATTCATGGACATACATGAAGTAAAGCTACTTAATCTACTAGTATAAAGTAGTATAAACGGGCGCTACAGTAGTATAAGGATAATTTTTCAAAGAAAGCATCAAAAGTTTTTAGAATTGGATAGATAAATAAACATTGAAAGAAAACAGGGTGTAAAATTTAATTGGCTTAAATAACACTGGCAAGCATTTTTTTAAATTCAGAAATCAGAGTATACTTTTTAGTGTAGTAGTAGTTAATCTCTCGATCGAAAAATGCATATAAGTGTACCTACAAGAAATAAATAAAAAGTGGGTACCTATTTTAAGCCAACTCTGGTTCATTAAATCATAAGAGAATATATTCATTTTCGCAATACTCTTTGTTTTTTTATCAAAATTGCTGACCTTGACTGTATAAAACCGAGGTTTTAAGTCTAAATAGACATGAGTGTAGCCTATCTAGGAGCGCGGTACTCAACCCAAGATTTAGTCAACATTATGAAAATTGACATCCATTGTACTGAATACCCGTTTTTTGCTTAATGCATTTTTAGTAATGTTGTCAATATTTACGTTGGTTATTTTTACGCTAATGGTTAGGATAACTGGGTGTCCAACATGCCACCGTCAGTTGGTATCCGAGGGGATTTCCGCACGGAAAAAAAAGGGTAACTGGGTAAACACTGGGTCACTTTCTTTTAATCGCACATAAAATCTATCCATCCAATTGACTTGAAATTTGGTTTGATGTATTGTGTATTTAATCAGCTTTCAGAACACATATTAGTAAATCATTAACCTCTAATAATGGAAAGCTGAGTAAATAATGTTTTTTTTAAAAGAGCATAACTGATCTACTGTGTACATATAGCCGTGCAGAATGGATCACCCCCTGGTTAACAATGGGTCTCGAGGGTTTTATAGGTAATTAAAGACATTTAAATATGAAATTATATATTTAAAGAAGAAATAAAAAATCAGTAGGTGTTATAAAATTTGAAAAATGAAAATAAATCAATAACAATTTGTTTTCAGTATCATAAACGAAATCTTCGTACTAAACGAATTTTCACTTTTTATTAATGCACCACGCTTATAAAAAAACTAACATTTATTTGAAAATAAAAGCTATAAGCAATTGTTTTTTAAAATATTTTGCAATTTTTTCACTCATAGTAGGATTTAAACGGTTCATGGATGTCGACGTCCAACGGCTGAAGTTTGGCTGATGTATGTGTATGTAAAGTCAGCACAGTGTCCCCAGACTCTTTCGTCAGAATATTTCTTTGACCCTTTGGAGCTAAAACTCTCAGATTTTTCTGAACAGTGCTCGTAGCAGTTTCATCTAAGTTATACGAGTATATGCGCGCGCCATCAGCAAAGGCTGGACTTTGAATTACGACTAAGCACATTTCGAAGATGGTCAAATAAAATTCAACCGGGGAACCGCTCACGAAACCCTATCTATGCCATCCATTTTGTTTGTTTGCTAACTATTAGGAATTGCCACATTCTTAATTTTTTTTCATTTTATATGACTATTTGGCGGCAATCCAAGGTGGACGATAAAACATTAGGGCGCATTTTTTTTAAAAGTCTCATAAGTCCACCTCAATCTTCGCTCTAAATATTTTTCTGACGGAATAATTTGGTGTCAGGCGAACAAGATTTTCTTTTCCGTAATACCCTTGTATTACGGAAAAGAAAATCTAGAGTAGAAAAAGCAATGTAGCTTTGCCCTTTGGCTGTTTGCCAGATGCTTTTTCCGGCTTTGATGTGTGCGTTACCCCAGCAAAATAATGTCGAAAATGGTCATTTAAACGTTATAGATAATTAGTTGCCCCCCTTCTGTAATTGTTAAGCACATTTTTAAATTTGTTTCTCTTATATTTTTTTTGTTATTTCAAAAAAACATTTCCTGCTGGAGTAACGTTTGAAACGTTACCGCAGCCAGACATTTTCTTTTTTAATTGTAATATTGAAATAAATTTTAGCTAAATAATTAGTTATCTGGACTAGGTAAATGTTACAACTTATTTGGTATTTGTATTTTCTTCGGCTGCGAAGTTATTCGAAATCCTGCTGGGGTAACGTTTGTGGGTTTGCTGGATCTCTGAAACGGGTAAGCGGATTGTAACCATCTTTTGTACATAACTTCTTAAGGATTAGTTTTAATTTGTTCGACAATAAAATAACAAAAATAATGGACCGTTTAAAAATTATTTAGGTAAGTATGAAAACACTTCAATACGTCCTAACACCTTGAATAAGACCTCTAAAGACTTACTGTAAACGTTATTCTATTGCTTGTAACTGCCTTCAAATGTATACGAATTTTCGTTAGTATACTGTTAGTGACTAAAAAGTTATGATGAAATGTAGCTTTCCACGTTCACGATCACAATGTGTGCGGCCTTTTTTGGCCACCGATAAACCTGTCTGTGGATATATAAACTCAATGTTATACCAATAATTAGTTGTTTAGTTCAGTTGTCTACCTGTAAAATTTCAGCGTCGTACATATAATAATAAGCGAGATAATTAAATAAAAGTCATTAGAAGGTGCAAGACCGTGGTAACCCGACCATGTTTAGGTGGTTACGAAAAAGCGATCACCTAGTACATTGTGCTGGCTTTTAAAATATGTAGGATATAGTTTGCAAGTTTAGTACGGATATGTACATAAGTGTTACAAAAAAACTACGTTTCTTGAATAATTTTTATTTACATGCAAAATAATAATTTTAAAATATTAATTAAAGTTAAAAACAATCACAGATAAATATTACAAACAGTAATTCTGTTTTTATGACCTTATTCATGTAAAACAATCACAGATAATAACAGATATTGCCTATAGAATGAATGTTTTCAATTCACTATACCTACCTATGCCTACTTATATCGTTAAAAATCACAGATCTGTGGTAATATTACCTAACATCACAATGTAGTAGAATACTTAGAGTAAGTCCTACTGTTTTATCTTCTAATTTAAAATACCTCAAATATTTTTTTCTTTGTTTATACAAATTATTTAAAAATCACAGACAGAGAATGTAGTTGACTACATTCAAATAATTATGTAAGATTTACTTTTAACAAATTACAATCTCAAATAGTCATGTAAAGTAAAATGTATATACCTATTTTTCTAAAATTAAGTTAGTTATCGTATAAAAAAATCACAGATCATTTTGTAAAATGAGTATCAAGAAACGTAAGTTACTTTCTAAAGCGATACTTTTCATTCACAGACATCTAGTTCTAGTTATCTTTTTAAAAACATATTTGTCAAATAAAATTACTAACATTAAAATTCACAATTTTAAAGTATCCACCATAGCATGTCAAGTGACCGTTGCATTATGATAGCCACTAATATGACGGACGGCAAACAAGGTTATTTAGAT